TTGTTCTCACATGCTCTGCAGATGGCTGTGCTCTCGCACACTCTACTCACTCTCAATCCATTTACTTCAGTTTGTGTCTGCAATGCCATGACCTTCTACCCAAGTCCTCAAGTTTCTGCCCAGACTCTTCATTAAGAAGTCTGGCTTCAATGTTCCTTTCCCGAGGCCTCTGCCATTGACCCACCTTCACCCACCTCCACGTTCTCTTAGCTAATTCCCCGTGTCAAAATCCCAGCTATTTGCACACATTGTGCTTTGAATTTTACATTACATGTAACATCCTTTCGTGCTTTCGAATCCTTATTCCAGGCCTGACATACCAAGTAAATGCCCAAAGCCTGTAATTTTTTAATGACAACAATAAAAAGAAGTTTATACTTCAAGAAATGGAATGGTTTTCCACTTGCCTGGACCTGTAGTCAACTAAACAGCAGGCTGCTGGGCACACTTGTGAGAGATTCTCTTAATCAGGTTATCTGAAGTGGGAAGACCCACCCAAGATGTGGATGGCACCTTCCAGTGACAACTCAAATAAAAGGAAGATCAGCTTTTGCTGCCAGCTTGCCACTGCTCTCCCAGGCCGAACCCTGTTGCTGCTGTAGTCTGTTTCCTGTGAACACCTATGCCCTCACGGGGTGTGCCCTAAGAATGGGTGACTGAGGATAAAGAAGACCACCCTTAATGCTATTCAGGCAACACCCAGAAGTGGACAGCTGAAGCATCTACAGCCACTTTCTGGGACAACCCTGAAGAGCACCCGCTGGTGAGAGGACATCTTCACAGGAAGAACTCTGCACAGGGCACATGGTGGAACATTTTGCTTGGTTTGGCTGGAGGATCAGGACATGGAAGACCCATCCACAGAAACTGGTAACAACAATGTTTGTGGAAGAGGTATGTGGACAGATATCTATGATTGAGCAAAAGATGTAAGGGTATTTGTGTTCCATGTAAGTGTACGTCAGAAAAGAAGTTAGCAGAGGGGCAGTTCAACAATCAAGTAGACAGGACAAGCCCTTCTGCAGGCAGTTGGACTCTCTCCCCAGTCATCCTTGCCACAGTTAACAGGCCTAGGAACAAAGTGCACTATGGGTATGCAGGTGAGCCTAAAACAGCACCATTCCTGAGTGAACAGAGAACACTGGATCACTTCCCCAATGGAAAAGCCAGCACTCTCTCCCAACTGGAATAAACACTTATACCAGCAGTGGTGAGATGCTGTGCTCCAAGGGAAGCAGCCTCCATCTTGGGGAGTTCATCCATTCCTGCTTGCAAAAAGATCACCCCAGCTGGGCTGGTTTACAGTTTACATCCCCTGAATAGAGGCAAAGAGGAGGACATGAGATTCTCACAGGAGTAACCAGCTGCTTCCTACCAACTGACAACAGTGCACCCTGTTGGGGGAGGAGCCGGAATAGAGGACTTGAAAGTCTGGGGCTTCATCTACGGGTCTATGGAGGAAGCCCTCATCCCTGTAGACAAAGGCTTTCAATGTGTGGCCCTTTGGAGGAGGAACGGCTACATCCCAGTAAGCCCTGGCTCTGTAAGGAAAGCTCCATAAGGAAAAGTCCCAGGGATGAACTGTAGCAGAATTATACCTCAGTTTGTCACTGGGATCCTCGAGGAAAAAGACACTTCTTTATATACATAATGCTTTCTCCAAAATTGTCTCCCATGGACTTACAGAATTCCACCTAGCACTACTTTAAGGGCAAAGAAGTGTGAGTGGGCCCTCAATCATGGAATATATCAGTTTTGCCATATTCCCTACAACCCTAAAATACCTAGCCTGAACCATAGAATGGCCTTTTGAAGACACAGTTACCAGAGACCAGTTAGGACCTGGATATGATAGCACATGCCTTTAATTCCAGCATTCCAGTGGCAGAGGCAGGCAGATCATGGTGAGCTCAGCTTGGTCTACATATAAACTTCCAGGCCAGTGAGAACTACACAAAATGTCACGTTACTTTTAAAATGTATATAAAAAATAAAGGGCTGAAAAAAATAAATAAAAATTTAAAAATAAAATAAATTAAAAGGGCTGGAGAGATGGCTCAACCGTTAAGAAAACCAGCTACTCTTCCAGAGGACCCGGGTTCAATTCCCAGCATCCACATGCTGGCTGACTGTAACATGAGTTCCCAGGTACCCTACACTTTCACACAGACATAGAGGCAAAACACAAAAGCATATAAAATAAAAATAAATTCTTAAAAATTTTTAGAGATCAATAGTCTGAAGACCCAGTGTGGGAATCTCCAGATGTCTCTAGTTCATGGCACTGTTAGCAAGGATTCACAGATCTAGAAATCAACGAATAAAAATGGACATTGTATCACTCACCATCGCCTCAAGAGGCCCACTAATAAAACAGAAGTTTTGGTTGTAGAGAGGAGTATTCCTGCCAGGAGACAGAGAACATTCCATTCAACAGAAAGCTAAGATTTTTTTCCCCTAGCCACTTTGGGTTCCTGATGCCCTTCAGTCAACGGGAGAAGAAAGAAATGTTTGGAGGGTGACTAATTCAGACTACCAGGGGTAAACTGGGCTATTTCTCCCCAGGGAAGATAAGGAAGAAGTTATCTAGAGCCTAGGGGATCTTTTAGAACATTTCTTGGTGTTACTGGAGCCTGTGGTGTATGTCAGTGGGCATCTACAACTACACATACCAGGAACGAAGGTACGGCTTACCCCTCCAGGTAAAGAACCGAGACCTGTGATGTGTTTGCTGGATGTGGAGGTAAATACAGACTGGGTAGTAGAGGGTGTCAGTTATAAACACCAGCTAAGGACATGTGAACGGATAAAGAAATGAGGTCTGTAATTTTCAACAAGGACTCTTAAGAATATGTTAAACAGATGTGTTTGATGTCCTCTATCTCTTTATCATGTAATGTAACATTGATTAAGATGGTGTCAGTGGTAAAGAATCTGAAATCTATACCAACATATTTAGCTTTCAGACACTAAAAGACACGAATTCTTCAAAGTGCCTTGCCTATTCTGGAGAAAATAATGCATTTGCAGCTGTACCTAGGATAGTTATAGCATGTTAAAAAGAATCATTGTTTTTTTTATTGTTGTCACTTGGAAATTAATCATGACATAAGGAAAGGTGATTGTGTGTCAAGCTGACAAGGATTGGACTTGTAATGGTTGATCTTAGTTCTCAACTTGACTGGATCTGGAATCAACTAAGAGGCAGGCCACAGAGCACACCTGTCAAGAATTTTCTCAATCAGGTTATTTGGAATCAGAAGCCCCACTCTAAAAACTGGGCACAGCACCTTCCAGAGGAAGCCCAGGTAAAAGGATGGTAAAGAAGGACTGACACTTTGTTTTCCTTGCTTGCCTTTGCTCTCCCTGACGAGTGCATCTGTCCTGCTGCTACTGGTATTGCCCCGGCTGTCATTAGGTCATACAAGACCCAGGCTGCTTTAGTCTTCCAGCCTGGACTCAGTGCCACTGCTCTCTAGGAATCCTCCAGGCCCTCAGCACCTGACTGGGACTGCTCATGCACCCAACTACTGGGTTCCCAGTCTTCCCAGATGAGACAGCTATACTGCCCAGTTCATACTGTGCAAGCCAGTCTAACAGCTGTCTTTCGATATACACTTACTTATTATTATCAGTATGCTTCCTCTAGTTAACCCTGACTAATGCACACTTCATGAAGTCAGGTATACTTATAAGTAGGAATAATCAAGGCTACATGATTTGGCTGAGTATGATAGCTCAAGTCTGTAATCCCAACCCAGGAGGTTAGAGCAGGAAGCCTATAATGGCTATAGAGTCAGTTAACAGCCAGCCTAAAGTACAAAGTAAAAGATCTCTTAAAAGGGAGTGAGACTGGAGAGATGGCTGCTCTTCCAAAGGACACAGGATCAAGTACCCAGCACCCATATAGAGGCTCACAATGAACTGTAGCTCCAATTCCAAGAGATCTGACACCTCCTTCTGGCATCCTCAGACACCAGGAACAAAAGTGGTACACAAACATACATGTAAGCAAAACACCACACACAAAATATTTAATTAATAATTATTTAATTTTATCTGGACATAATTACATCATCTAAATGTTATATCATTAAAAGATACAACTTTTTCAAAGGTCCATACAGTGTACACCATGAGTTGGAAGCACACAGGAGCAACTACAAACTGCCTCTCTACTATCCATCAGATCATCTTCCTACCAACAATCACTGCTCAGCTGCTTGCAACTGAGAGTTCAAATGAACACAGTGGCCACTTGAGATCACTTTAAAGACTGTCAAAGCTAGAAAGGACGTAGGTCACTAGAACATCATGGGAAGATGGAACTAGCACTGAGCTGTCTATCTAGAGACTTCGCCATGACTGGGTATAGCACTGCAACTTTGCAGAACATATTCCTAAGTGGAATTACGCACAGGGCTAAATTACAGGGAACACAGCAGATAACTAATTAATTAAAAGTCACCTAGAAGAGTACGGTTACCCTTCAATACAAGGAGGATGCAGAAAAAGCACTGGAAAAGAGCCCCCTCATTCACAGTAGCCATCATGAGCATGACAGCATCTGAATCCTCTCCAAATGTGTGAGATCAGCAAATCTGCTCTTTGAATGTGTAGAGTGGGGAGAATGGTACTTTTTCACAGGATCCCAAGGATTAAAAGAGAAAACCAAGCAATAGCTTTAGAGTGGCCTGAGGCCACTCGCCACAGCTTCAATGCACTACCAAAAACTAATATATGATGGGAGTTACATCATTATTATTACCATCTGATGGTGGCTTCTGCAGTAGAGTATTAATTGTACATAATTAATATGGACAAATGCATGAGCACTTTTCTGAATACTGGCAATCCTTTATTTCCAGACTGCACTGTGATCTATTATCACTGCCTTCATTTGACTCAGAATCACTGCATATGAGGAAAGAGTAATGAAGCTGATAAAAACATCACAACAAATTCTGTTTTTTTTAAGGCAACAATTTAAATGTCCTTACCCCGAAGATCCAATGCTCTTACAAACACCAAGAAGGGGTCTTTTCTCAGCAAAGTTATCACACTTTTGAGCACCTGTTGAAAGCATAAAACATTGTTTTGAGAAACTTTGTATATTTTCCATTATTTCAAAATATTTACAATAGAATGAGGGTGGATGAGCAGCAAGTCACTGGTCTGCCCTGTACAGAAAGAACAATGTGCATGTGTGTATCTATACGTTTGTTTATACATGTGTATGTATATGTATACAACAGAAATTAAAGATACTGGCAGACATTTTTTAAAGACTTTTTGTTGTTTCAATCTTAACAACATTCTCTATGAGATCAAAAACTACATCCTACAGTGACAAGCTACTTAAGACTAGTATGTGATGGCACATACCTTTAATCCCAGGAGAGGCAGGCAGGTCTATGAGTTTGAGGCCAGCCTGGTCTACAGAACAAGTTCCAGGACACCAAGAGCTACAAAGATAACCAAAGAAACTATCTCTCAAGAAAGAGAGAGAGAGAGAGGAAGAAAAAGAGAAAAAGACAGAAAGAAAAAGAAACTGAAAACAAAAACTTATGTACACAAAGTTAAATCTATGTAAAATCACCTAAGAATTTAGATCAACCCTTGGTGGTTGTGGTGTATGAATGCTAAAGAAATCAGACTAATTCCTTATATCTTCACATTACAAATTCTGCCAAATAAGCATCCTCAGAATAACCATTTAACCTATCATGGCAGATTTTGTTTTGTATTACCTTGAAGACAGCACCTTACTTTGTGACCTAAGCTGCCCTTGTGCTCAAGATCCTACAGCCTCAGCATGAACCACACCTAGCTTCCAATTTTTTTTTATGTATATGGGTCTGTTGCCTGCCTGTATGTCTGTACACTATCTGCCTGTAATACTCAGAGAACAGAACAGGGTATCAACTCCCCTGGAATGGAGTTACAGATGGTTAACTATAAGCCCCCATGTGGATTTTGGGACATTTGTCTCAGTCTTCTAAAAAAAAAAAAAAGCAGCCCATACTCTTCAATCACTGATCCAACTTCCAGCCCCAACTTACTTTCATTTTTCCTTCTCCTTTTGAATAAGTCTTACATAGCCAAGGATGACCTTTAACTTACTGTGTGGCCAAGGCGGCCCTTAAACATTTGATCCTCCTGCCTCTACCTCCCTGTGTGTTCAAGATTAAGCTGGGTACAGTGGAACATGCCTGTAATCCCAGCACTCAGGGAGACAGAGGCAGGCAGATCACTGTGATTTCGAGGCCAGCATGGCCAGGGCTACACAGAGAAATCCTTTCATAAATTAAATGAATTAATTAATTAATGAATTAATGGGTTCCCTAGTGCAATAATGACTATTTTTAGAAAACTGAGATTAAAATAACAGTTAATATTTTCATTCAAATTAGTAATTACACAAGAATACTCAACATCACTGTCCCCATTCAAGCTATGCCAAAATCCTAGTCAACATAACAATAATGAACTTATTAATAATCTTTAATACAAAAACAAAGCAGGATTGGAGAGTTTCTCAGTAAGTAAATGCCTGCCTTGAATACACGGAACTGTGAGCCCCAGAACACATGTTAAAAACAGTAGCATATGGGACTGGACTGATGGCTCACGGGTTAGCTCAAGCTGTTCTTGCAGAAAAGCTGGCTTTGGTTCCTAGCACCCACAAGGCAGCTAACACCTCCTGCACCTCCAGTTCCAAGGGAGGTGACTTCCCCATCTAGCCTTCTCAGGCACCAGGCAATCGTGTGATTCACATACACACAATAAAGCAAACTTTTTTAAAATGTAATTAAAATAATATCAGTATACTACAGGTCCAAATGACATGAGACGATGTCCAGCCACAACCAAGAAATTACTATACACAGTACTCATGGTACTAGGGGAATGTGTCCTGCTGCTGATTTTAATGTAAACAGTACATTGTGAGGACAGTCTGACCCCTTCATACTTCCTGAAAGGGCTGAGGAAACACACACACACACACGGCAGGCTTCCTGCCTTTACCAAAAGGAAGGAAACCATTGGAAGAGGGAGATGAAAGATGGGCAAACCTAAGTGAACACGCTGCAGTCGATCCTTAGCCCCCTCCGGTTTTCCACAAAGGCCAGCCTTACTCATGACTGTCATTCTAGCCATTTCTTTCCATCTCTGCTTTCCTGAGGAGACGCCAACACGCATGTATATTCAAGTTTCTCTGATGCTACCCTACTCCTCGGGATCAGTCACCAGCTATGGGAAGTCATAAGGTTAGAGGAGAAACTTATACTCCCCCACTACACAGTTGTTTTTGTTTTCTGACACAAGGTCTCTCAGCACATAGCCCTGGCTGGCCTAAAATTTGCTTTGCAGACTAAGCTAGCTGGCCTTGAAATCAAAAAGATCCCCCTGCTTCTGCCTCCTGAGTGCCAGTACACCTGGTCAAGATTCTTTAGATCAAAAATAAACAAATAAAACTAATACATCATCTAGAATGGTCTCGTAGGAGAGGAACAGAGAGTAATTAAAACAGATGGATCATCAAATTATGAGTAGTGCCTTACATATTATTATTATTACTCTGGATAAAAGCTTGCTTGCTAGGCAAGCCTGACAACCTGAGTTAGGTCTCCAGGACCCACAAAAAAAAGAGAACAAATTCCGGCAGGTGTCCTCTGACCGCCATATTCACTCCATAGGACATATATGTGCTCTCGCGCTCTTTCTAGCTCACACACACTCTCTTGCTCTCTTCCTCTCTCTCTCATACACAAATACATATTCTCACATACACACTCAAACACACACTCAAGCAAACACTATAAAATAAATCTCTTAAAAACTTTCCACTACAATTTAAATTATAGTCATATAAATTGACATTTATCAAATACAAGATTCAAGTTTTGATAAAACCAAAATTATAAATTCAAATACACTGAATCCACAAATACCACAGCTGAAATTTCATCAGGGATGAGAGACAACTTACATACATGATTACTTCCTCCAGCACTGTTTAAAATAGTGGAGGAAGAAAGAGCCAAGTGTGAAAGGAAACATCCATTCCCCACAGCTGCAAACAGGACTTGCCGAGTGTAAACACTGAGGAGACCACAGTATGAGGGGTAGGGGAGCACCCAACAGCGGGAAGATAGAGACCCACACAGCATCTACTCTGATGTACCCAGTCGGCAGGGACACAGAAAAGTCATAATCACTGTTCACAGGAGAGGCAAGGGGAATTAGAAGACAGGTGATGTAGAAAGAAGCTTTTCAATGCTTTTCAACAGTTTCTGCCTTCTGGTTTTCAACCCATGTGATACATAAATTTCCTGCAAAATGTCTGTGTTCACTTTAAACAAGAAGCCATGTGCCAAGAGACAAGCTAGTGCTTGCTTTAAATTTGAACACAAGCTAGGAGGATGCAAACATGTGTTTAATGTTATCCTCCCTAAAAATTCTATGAAAGCAATTCTTAAGTAAAGTTTTAAAATATGTAATGACCCCAACGAATTTGACAAAGAGATGAGTACTGATGAATTAAGCAGTCCTAAGTGAAGGCTGGAGGCTCCAGTGGTGGAAAAACACCCAGAGATTAAAGGGACCTTTATACACAGTATTATAAAGGGTATAGTAAGTGATTATACCAGGTACACTTGGGACTGGATGTGAAAGAACCAGTCTAAAACAAAGGGGACCGGCTTGTTACTGGCTGCTTGAGAAACTCTCAGATGGCAAAACTTTACTTCCAGACAACTTAACTCACCCTCCCAACTCCTGACCGATTGAAAGGCAGCTCTCTAGAGAGCATGAGACAGCGCTCCAGGTGAAGTGAGGATTAAATGACAGCATTAATGCTTAATATTGAAGCAGCCTTTCCCATGCCCAGGACTTCTCCCTCTGAGTTTCCCAAACACTAGTGTCAGATCCTTATCATCCACGTCTCCTCTGGGGAACAGAACAGCCCCAGGAGAAAGGACTGAAAAGCACTGTCCATCAGAAGAATCAGGCAAACAAGCACAAAGAAAGCCCAGTGGTGAAGGTAAACCCTCAAAGCTGGCAGTCGGCTTGAGAGTTTGACACGAACAGCTACCATCTAGACAGCCAAGGAGCTAGAGCTGTTTAGAAAGGTGTCTCTACAGGGTGAAAACATCAAGAATTATAGTATTGCCGTTACTAATTTCCAGGAAATGTGACGAACACAATGTGAAATGGATGCTGACACTTTCAAGGGGAGCTCTGGGAACGTGGGATGAAGCTCAAGGAGCAGTGTGCTTGCCCAAAGAATAAGCAAGGCCCATGGTTCCATTCCTAGTACTGTGACAACCAGGCTTGGTGGCTCACGGCAGTAGTCCCAGCACTCAGGAAGTGTTGGCAAGAGGATAAGATCAGAAGTTCAAGGTCATCCCCAGCTCTATAATGAAAACAGAAAAAGAGTGAAGGGAGGAAATGAGAGCAGGGGGAGAAGAAACCTGAGAAATTTCAAATGGTAGATAATATTTTAAAACCTGAAAAACGCACCAGAGATAAAATGAAAAAAAAAAAATCCCAAAACACTATAAAATATTGAGTTTTTTTCAATGACTGATGAGCAAGAGGCACCAAAAAGAAAAGCCTTAAGCCAGGCGTGCCAAGCACACTCTTTACCTCAGCACTGGGAGATTGAGGCACGAGGAATAGAGCAAATTAAAGGCCTGACTCTGACTCCAAAATAAAATAGGAACAAATGAAAAAGGGTGTTTGTTCAAGATCAAGACATTACACAGTATTCCAAAATACGTTTTGTTATTACATAAAAATCTAGATAAAATAAAACATGTCTGTTCAAATAATTTACAAGGGATTATTTCTGCTTCTGCTACAAATCCGATTTAACAATTAATAATCTGACTTTTAAATCCAAGCATGAGTTAAAATTTAACTGATCCAAAGCCTACACTATTTCTGTACAAAATTAATTACAATTGAACCCCTCTACACAGAGCCAATCCTTCACTCCTTCAGCACACTTCAACTCCTTCCTAGCCTCTCAAGTTCGCATCTGCTCTGTACAGACCAGATTTATTTCA